CTGATACGTAGTTTCCAGGCCAAAGAACATTGACTTTGTCCACCATATTGGTATGAATATGACCAATGGAAAACACTCATTCAAAACCTCTAAGGGACGGACCATTAGAAAAGTGATGGGGGAAGGGGGGGGGGCGACTTTTTCAATTTGTACGAATATTTTTTCAAAATGTTTTGCTTGTGTCTATAATTTTTTTAAATATAATCTTTTGCTCGAATTTTTTTATTTCAACTTATAATTTTCCCTATTGAAACGTTTTTTGGTGCACGATTTTTTTTTCTTTCTCTTTTCCCTGCTCGATTTTTATTTTTGCCCCCCCCCCCCTCCCCATCACTTTTCTAATGGTCCGCCCCTAAGCCACATCTACTAATTCCAGTTGACTTCAATTATAGATTATTACTGTGTTTGCGATTCTGAATATGAAGTTCATTATTGGAAACCTGTAGTGCACTGGAATGAACCATGTCCCATATGTACGACACAAAATGGCCTGGAGGTTAAGGAACAACTCAACCCCAACATCAGACCACCAGCAGCGCTTGGTGTTGGAGAACATACCATTAACTATACTTTCACATATAATCCGCTGTCATCAAGACGTTTAGGAGAAACCAAATGTTCTGCGAAAATCCGAGTAAATGGAGGTATGTCCACACCTGATAAACCAAAAAAAAGAATTTCGCGTACGTAGGAACAAATTGTTTAACCCCCTTCCCTCTTCGTGCGCAAATATATGTATCAATTATACTCCTTCCCCCTCCCATGCGTACGTGCTAAATGATCTGCCCTGACGCTCAAATGCTTTGTGATTGCTTTTTTCCATTAATAGTGTTAAGTGTTTCTAAATCTTAATACTCGTTCTTTCGAACGAGAGAAAAAGTTCTTACATTCTATATATAATTTTATTGTGCAATGTTCAAAAGTGACAATCATCACAAAACCTTTTGTGACAAATTTGTTTCCTGTCATTAATATAAATTCCTGTCATTTGTATACTTCCTGTTTTTCACATGCCGATGGTGTGCGATTAAATGCAATTAAATAAGTACTAGGAAGCCATTGAAACAATGGACAGAACCAAACTCTTCAATAATTTATGTATACAACGTCTAAGCTTCATATCTTCCCAGCCTGTTTCTTTCATTAGATTTTTTCTACTGGTGCCCTTCATGGCACCCGTTACGATTTTAGCAGATTCATATTGGACAAATTCGAGAAGATCGCTCTCACCGTCCATGCAACCGTCCCACAATACATCAGCATATTCCATCACGGGACGAACAAGAGATTTATATAATGTGTTTAAAGTTTCCCTATTTAATTTATATTTTAATCCTTTAAGCATATTTAACCTCTGGCATGCCTTTTCATATACTTTCAAAATATGAGCTTTCCATGATAAAGTACTAGATAGTGTGACGCCGAGGTGGGTATGCTGTGAAACCATAGCAATTTTTTTACCTTCATAAAATAAATCAGGATGATATGGCTTAATCCTTTTGGTTGAAAAAATAATCGATTCGGTCTTAGTTGGGTTAATTGTAACTAACCATTGGGATGCCCAATCCTTAATTGAAGTAAGATCATTATTCAACTTTATCGAGGACATATTAGGTACATCAACAAAAAACAATCTGACTGAAGATTTTTAGTTATGTCATTGATATATATCAAAAATAGCAAAGGGCCAAGGACAGAACCCTGGGGAACACCCGCTTTTATACTTTCCCACTTAGAAGACTGGCCTTCAATCACAACTCGTTGTTTTCGATTTGGTAAATAACTTTTAATCCAACATAGCAGTGGATCCTGAATACCAATTACTTCAAGTTTGTATAAAAGCCCTTTGTGCCATACTTTATCAAAAGCTTTGCTGATGTCGAGAAATACCATCCGAACTTCTTTCCCTTGTTCAAGTGCGTGATAAATCGTATGCACAATGTACATTAATTGATTCACAGTGGAATCACCCGGTCGAAAACCGGACTGCAGTGGTTAACGAATATATGAATATGCAATTATCGCGTCTAGTTAAGGCCCTGTATGTGTAGCAATTTTATAAAATTGTGTTCTGTAACCACAACAATTTATAGGTTAATTTTTTTCTCAGAGAGACGGCAAAACATTGTCGGCGAGAAGCTTTGGGATAGTGACACCGGTATTGGTAAGAACCTTATTGTAAAGAACGAGGATTTGTTAGTCAGTGTTTACAACTTGGCTTGAAAGAACTTTGTCACAGACCATACATGCCCTTAAATACTTGCCATGCGTGACTATTAAAAGCAAGGACTATTAAACGCAAGTGGCAACCATCATCATACAAACAGTTGATTAACATTTGTTGAATTTGTACAACATTGCTAATACCTGTGACAAACATGTATAATTGTAAAATAAATAAATAATGTCAGGTATCTTGGTCAATGTGCCACTAATTTGAAATATTCAAATACACAACAATTTTACTAGGTCCAAACTGTGCATGGTGAACTAAAAAGCTTTTTCAAACCATCCAATGTCAACCTACATTATTTACATTGTTGAATACAACTTTTTTGGGTTTGTTAGACCATTTCGTACGGTAATGTTGGCTGAGGTTCCATCACATTGTTGGCTTTTAGCATGTATAATTACCGAACTTATCGCCAGTCTTTCTTCCTGTTAATGAATATAGCGAGTCTATATAGCTTCGGAAAATTGGAGGATACATTTCCTCCTCACATTTAGAGAGCATCATCTAGGGCTGTTTCAAACGTCGCGCTTCTGATGTGCCGAACGCATTAAAAACAATAGATAATCAGGCATTTCAGCTGATTATCGATTGTTTTTAATGCGTTCGGCACACGAGAAGCGCGACGTTTGAAACAGACCTTAAATGTAAGAGTCCAACTTGATCCAACATCTTCCGACACTACCCATGCACTAATAAACTTCTATTTTTGTAGAACACAATATACAATGTCAAGGCTCTGTTGTGAAGTTACAGTGTCCCAAAAAATCTTACATCATCAACATTGTCTCAGTTTTTCTGTCGCAGCTCTTACTCATATCTGTCTGATGAAAGCAGATGCAGTGGCGACAAAAATGATGTTACAGCAGAAGTTCAGGAAATTTGTGAATTCAAAACCAGCTGTAACTTCACATTGAAGAAAGAAATCTTCGGAAAAGATGGCTGCCCCAATGTTTACAAGTTCATGGATGTCGAGTATAGATGTGATACGTTTTTATTTTAGCTTCTAGAGTCAGGATTGTATGGCTGGGTTTCACTAAGCACTAATGTACAATACAGTAGATGGTGGTCAATCTGCAGTAATCAGAATAAAAAATACTTAGCCACTGACTGCTGCACACGCAGCATCTCCGAATTCGATTGAGATGATTGTTTAGGCATGACTATTAAGCCAACAACAAAAACATCGCTCGAGAGAAAACAACACAGGGTCAGGCTTGTGCAAGACCAATTAAGGACAGTGACTCTAACGACCTGGAACCCACTCAGTCCTCCAGCGTTCCTCAGCCAGCGGAAAACACTTCTTAAAGACAACAAGAATTATGTGGACTGTGTCATTTAATCAGTCCACAATGGTTATTTCAAAATTTACAGTACATAAGCTGAGAACACGAAGCAACAGCTGGACAATGACTAATGTTCTTGTTTTGTTCTTAGGTCTGCCACTCGGCGTAAAACATATGAGCCCATAGTAACAAATACATCAACTGAAACTATCCAGCCCACATCCATTTTGATGGTCAACATAGATAGACTGAGCACCATTTACCAACTACAAACGTCTACTCCTCGCTCCAGTTCACTCAGCAGCTCACGGCCACACAGAGTAAGAGTTACTACAGTTTACAGTTGACTACATAGCCATAGAACAAGTTGACTCAAAAACCTTTCTTGTCTATATGGGCTTATAGGATTGTGTAGATTTTTGTATTTCTGTAAAGATCGTCAGTTGCTTCAGCTATCTGATACTTTGCTTGTTTTCAGTAACAGAAGGCAGTAACGTTTGTGACTTGGGGCCTTAAATCCAACATACTCGAATGTTAGTAGTACATAGTACATTACCTGCGTATTAGTTTCCTTACACACTAGCACGCATTATAAGGCCAGTGTGAACGCCTGAGCAGGCGTCTTAATTGTTTGTGCTAAAATTGTCGCGCCTAATCACCCTAATGCAATGATGACACTTGTGGCTATTTTAACTTTAATAGTAAAATAATATGATTTATATAATAACGTTAAGAATTCATGCGCTTTAATTTATTGGTCGTGAGCCATGATCTACAGAAGCACGGAATTACGTCACACAAAACTCTTTGTTCTGTGCAGCCAATCACAACACAGCACATGGCTTAAGGTAGCCAATAGCATTCCCTTATTTGTATAGATCATGTACGCGTGATGTTTGTAAAATTTCGACTTTTTCAAATTTCCAAATGTTTGGGTGGATAATTAAACGTAAGCTATTTACCTGTTTAATTCGAGGGTTTTCTTTTTATTATACAAAACAAATAGATAAGATTTTGCCGTTGTCTGCCCAGTTATAGATACACAGTATGACATCATAATGTGGGAAAAACAAAAAAATGACCCACTCGCCTCGGCTGCTCGTGACCACTTTTTTGTTCTTCCAACATTATGACGTCATACAGTGTGTATCTATAACTGAACGGCCTGAACAGCCAACGATATTATCTATTTGTTACATATTTTGCAGACAGAGACAAACTAACTAGATCGATATCACACTTGTATTTTCTCAGAATATAGTTATGTCTCAGACGCGAGTATATGACATATTTAGCCCAGGAATTAGTAATCAGTCGTGAAGAAAGAACTACTGTAAGTTTGAGCAATTTATTCTACGCCTTCCCCGAGGCGCAGTCGTACTACTATGACTACAAAGAAATATACATAAGTTCGAGATTCCGAAAGATATTATTGTATACAAGTCCAACTCATACTTATACTTCCCGCCATCTTGGTCTATTTAGATCTATTTAAGTACTTTTTGAAAGACGTGACGAACAAATACCAGCATGAGCTCCACCTTTGAATTTACTATATGAGTAAATTCTTAAACACGTCCGAATTTATCATTATGATAAATTCGCGGCAAATTTTGAATTTATCATAATAATAAATTCGCGGCACCTAACACTAACCCTAACCCCAACCCCAACCACTAACCCTCATTTTTTTAACTTTTTAAATTTTTTTAAATTTTTTAAAAATCTAACTTTTTAAACTTTTCCTGCTTTTCCAAACTCTTTTAAAACTTTTTTAAAAACTATTTTTTTTAAAAACATGAAAAACTTCCCCACGCCTGCACGACCAGCTTCCCTTTTAGTGCCATTACATTTATAACAAGGAACCTTGTGCAATGATTGTGGTTTTATGATTAACTCTATTGATAAATTCAAAATGTGCCGCGAATTTATCATAATGATAAATTCGGACGTGTTTAAGAATTTACTCATATAGTAAATTCAAAGGTGGAGCTCATGTTGACAAATACGCAATTGACAAATATGGACATACAAACAGCGTCGTTATTGATATTCACTACCCTACGGTTAAACAGATGTTGTTCATCTTACAGGCGATATTTGCATATTTGCATTGTGTCGTAATATCGTGTTTTACACGCGAAAAAGTCTTATTCAAAGATAAACCATAATCTGTAGCAGTCTCTAGCACTATAAGATCCTATTTTGCCAAATTAAACTGGCAATGTTATAACCCCCAAACTATGCTCCCAAAGCAATTATTTTCATACCCATTAGCCTTTGCGACACGTATCGCATACCAGTTACTTTGGTTTGTGTCTGAACCCCCAAAAGATATCTCAAACCACGGTTAATAGAAATAGGAGGTGGTCCAGTGTAGGTAGTATTCTACAATAAGCTGTCGTGGTTTGTGTCTGAACTACCTGAAAAAGATATCTCAAACGTGGTGGTCCAGTGCATGCAGATAGTATTCTACAATAAGCTGTTGTGGTTTGTGTCTGAACCACCTGAAAAAGAGATCTCAAACGTTGTGGTCCAGTATAGGTAGTATTCTATAATAGGCCATCGTGGTTTGTGTCTGAACAAGAAGTGTTCTCTCCTTAAACATCGAAATATTTTAAATCTTTTTTTCACGGCAGCTTATAATATTAGTTTAGAAATAAGCTTAGAAATATCGGGAGGCCGAAGCTTGAGACATCTGGTTGGTACTACAGTCTATATCATGCAGGCACGTATCAGGTACGTATTGGCATCTCTACACAATAAAGCAACAGCTTGTTTTTGGTGTTCATCGCAGGAACCTGAGCTTCGAAAGTCTTTGAGCCGAATAACAGGTAAAAATGTGTATACCATTAAAATGTTCATATCTAGTGTAGTTTAATTAATGTTAGTACCATAACGGATTCATCGGCAAATTGTTTTCGTAGTCAGCGAAAATATTTGAGTGGCTCGGATTAAAAAGTGATAATTATAGCGAACATTTTGATAAATTTACGAAAATATTACCAAGAAATTTGACAAAGTACGGTATATTAATTCGAAGGTTAATGAAAAATTGTATGTCCGAAAAATCTTTTAATCCCAATATGTCCAAATGACTAAATGACAAATATTTATCCTGAATATAATTATTTAATTTTCCTCACGTTGTGTTCTCCAGAAGCTCTAATGCTCTTCAGTGCAACATTTGATATAGTCCCCCCCCCCGATATGGTACTGCCCCCCCTCTCCAGAAGTCCATTAAGGGATATCATAATTGCGCACTGGTCCAGTGCGGCTGCAGAATTAGAACAAAATTCGTAGCGTAAGGTCGTAGCGTAGTATTACCAAAGGTCATAGCGGTAAAAATCATGTGCACTAAAGCACCAACAAACCATCTATTTTGTTTGTAATGTTACTCTGAGTGTATATCCACACCGGGCGAGCTTGAAAAATATGCCCGGCCACGGTGGGAATCGAACCTACGACCTTTGGAATACTAGCCCAATGCTCTGCCAACTGGGGGAGTGGGGTAGGGGGCTGTCGTAGAGATGAAGTAAGACCTTCCTAGGGGGACTGGGACTGTGCCACGTAAAAAAAGATAAGAAATGTATTTCAACTTTGCATGCAATGATTGTATAGCTAGGTAAGCATGCAACTATCAGTATTTATTATAGTATTAGTTTACCAATTTTTTGTCATTATTCAAGACAAGTCATTATTCTTTT